AAGAAAAGAAAAATGAAAAGCATTTAATGTATAAGTATATTATATATAGGCACATTTAAATTCAGTATTGAATATATATTAAATCTATGTCTTCCTTTTATAAAAATAATATACTATAGTAATATATATTTATCCAACTTATATCATAAAATTAGAAACAAATCTAATTTTCTTGCATTTTTTACAAATGTTGTTAAGTTTCAAAGTTTTTTCGTTAAAATTTTGATAAATAAGAAAATAGATATTAGGAGATATTATACTTTACTTAAATTGATTTATTTATAACAAATGACAAATGATGAGATTCAAATGTACTTTTGATATGTTGTTGAACCATCAACTTGTCTCGTTTATACCGAGAATTATCTTTATATTTAGTAATATAAATAATTCACGAATAGTCGAAACTTCGATTCGAGAAATCGATTAAAAATATTTTAAAAATAAAATAATTTACATTTGCTCGATCAATATAATTTTTCATTCTTGATTTATTCTTTAATGCGTTCAAAATATTCGATATAATTTTCAAAAAAGATATGAATTAATTTTGTTATTTATTAATATATTTATATGCTTCACTTTTTTTCAGTATTATTATATTTAATCAAAAAATATTTTTTAGTAAGAATATTACTTCTTATTAAATATGAATCGAATCATTATGAAACGCATTAATATAAATAATAATTATAATTCATTAATAAATATTAATACATTAGATATTGTGATTTCCATTTGAAAGAATTTCCATTGGAAAGAAAAAATTTATTTAGTTTCATAGCATCCATAATAATTTATAAATAGAAATTTTTTTCTATTTATATAAATATTTAAAATAAAAACATATTTGATATGTTAATTATAATTTTAATATTTCTAATTATTTGCTGCAACAATGATACATGTAACTTTTAATTATTACTGGTATTTTTTTTTATTTTAAAAATAAAATTTTGCATGTTTTCAATTTATTTTCAATTTAAAAAATTTTTTTTTTATTTTAATACGAGGTTTTTATGTATTATAAGAGACTTTAAACACGTACGTGTCAAATACGAGTATATTCGCATATAATTGGCATGATGTCAACATGTTAAAATCGTTTCTTCTAAAATGATTTTTAAGTTATAATATATCTATATCATATTTAACAACAAATAAACAATTTATTATTTTTCAAAATAATATTCAAATTATTCATAATTATTACATAAAATATATTTCAATTAAATTTAATCAAAATCAAAATGTATAATGTTTAATTATTATATATATATTAAAATTTCATATAACAAACAAAATATCGATTAAAAAATTTTGAAATATTTAAAATAATATTTAAATGCTGCTTCAAACAAATCGAAACTTTATCTCGAGTTCGACTATAAATAGTAAAAAATTTTCATCCGTGAAAAGATATATAATTTCTTCTTTTCAATCCTCCGATATCAATCTTCAACAGCAGAATGCTCAAACTATTAACAATTTCCAACGATGATTCTAGCAATTAGAATTATTTAATCGTTAGAATCATCCACGTACTTATGAGACTAGTCCCTGCTTTTAGTTCCCAATAATTAAAATTCACTATTAAATTATAGTAAATATCATTATTCTTTGTTGCATATATGTGACATTAAATTATTTTTCAAAATATGAGATTCTTCGAAACATTCTTTGTTTTAACTGTATATAATTATTTGAATCTTCAATGTTAAAGTAAGAAAGTATAAAATAAATTAATTATTAATTCGATTCCTTTTATAACACAATAGATAATATTGATTCAATCGTTTTTAAATTTTAAATTCACGTTTAATACAATATTGGATAATAATTATAACAACTTTAATGTGTTAATTAAAAATATATTTTTATCTATTTTGTTGATAAATAATATAACATTCTTATTATTTATCATTAGAATAACATTGTTATTAGAAATTTTTGTTTTTGTACCAATAATTTTTATTCCAATTTTCAAATATTAATGTCTAATTTTTCTGATATAATATATAATATAATAATATAATATAATTAATTAAAACGTAAAAAAAAATTTAACAAATTTATTATAAAGTTGTTGCAATTTTTTCCAATACTATATCTTATAACATATGTTATCATTATTATAAATCTTTTAAGACAAAACTAGATATATAATCATAAAGTACAATTGAGCAAAATAAATTAATGTATTTAATTTTAATGAGATTTAATATTTTATTTTTGTTTAAAAAATACATTAATGTGTGAGTAAATAAAACCAAAATTATTTTTTGCATCGAGATTTATATAAAGTTTTTATTTTCTGATTTAATACCATAGAATTTTGAATAAAGTATAAATGAAGTAAATAAATAATTAAAAAAACACATAAGTCAGATATTTTTTAAATTAATTGTATTATTATTGGTAAAATGACGAAACATTGATCGTCAAATAATGGCACAATTTGCTTACACAATACTTTTCTTTCTTCTTTTTCTTTCTAAATCATAGAAACATGTTCAAACTTATTTTTTTTTTAAATTTACATAAATTAGCTTTGGATAGAGAAGATCAGTAATTTGTGCTTAATGAAAAATTATAATTATTTAAAATTTAAAAATTTTTTTTAATATGCTTTTTTTATATTTTTAAAAAATCAAAACAGAAACTAATTTCATTAATGTTTATATTTGATGCCATATAAATGAAACATTCGAAAGAAGAATCAATATTTTTAATTAATATTGTTAAGTCATTACTTAAAATACATGTGCATATAAAACTTTTTCTTTTTCTGTGAAGAAAAGTTATTTAAATGTATTGTTTTCTGAGAAAAAATTTGTTAAGTATATTTCAATAAAACAAAAATTAAAAAACATTGAAAAAGTAAAGATTTAACATTTTTAATTATCAAATTAGCACCAATTACTGTATGTACAACTCAAATATAAATTATATCGTATTAAAATTATAATATTAAAATATAATAATAAAATTTATACATAGGAACAATTATTTCGTTCTTGCGTCTTTTATTACATAAGGCAGACTTTATAATTAAGATTTGTAACTATTTAAATGATAAAAAAATAGTAATTAATTAAGTAAGTAATACAAAAATAACAGGTACGATTTTCACATAGAAAAATCGTTAGATTAATCTTCCGATAAGATTATTTTAGCTATGAAATACAATTTTTCCTATTTCTTGTGCATTTTTAGCTGAATTTTTATTAGAAATTAAAATATGATTTCTGATAACAAGGTAAATTCCAAAAATCTTGTTCCTTTCCGAATTCTTCTTCTTGTTTAATGGTCTGAGGAAGATTCTGTCTTACAGTTTCTGGGAGAAATAAAACAAATGCAGCACCCAAGCAGGATACCATATTGATTATCAACATTGGAAATCCTTCCCAAATTTTAGTCTAATAAACAAATGAAATAAATTATTAATAAATTAATTAAATATTTAATTAAATATTTTCTTTCATTTTCAAATTATTATTTTTTTAACAGCCACAAAAATTTATCTATAATTTCAAACATGTCAAATAAAAAATTTCTACAAAAAATTTTATATTTGGAAAAGAATAATAATTTTTTATAAATGAAACAAAATTTATTTATTTTTTTATTTAAATTTTTAATTGATTTTTTCAATCAATTAAATTATTATTAAACTAATAAAGTAATTAAGTATTTGATTTATTTATTAATTAAAAGTTAGAATAATAAAGAGATGATATATATTTTTTCAAAGAATGTGATATTATATTTAAATTTTGAATTCTTTGTAATTTCGTGATTATTTTTTAATGATAAAAATATTTTATTTTACACTTTTAAATATATTGTTAATTACAAAAGTCTTCACCTTATAAGAATTCAATTATAAATTATGTTATCAAAATTTTTTCCATAATTTTTTTTTATATGAAACATTATTAATATATAGATGATAATGTTTTATATGCATTTTTTTTTGTTAAAATATCGAAAGAATATTTCGAAAGACTGAAATTAGTTCTTATTAAATTATTAATATTATTTTTTGAAATATAATTTTGTTTTTTAAAATTTAATAATTTCGTAATAATATGATGTAAAAAAATTTGAAACTACAAATGTATTCAGGTTTTATTATTCTGTTTTATTATTCTGATATCAAAAATATTTTCAGACCAAGTTATATATAAAAAAAATGATGAAAAATTAGAAATTCAATATTTCAATATTTCAATATTTTATTACGCTAATCAAGGAGATTTCAACTTTTTATGTTGAAAAATAAATGCATGATCCATTATATATTTATTCAAATTTTCATTAGAATCAGATTTTTTAAAATTAGTCAATTTGTAAAATAAGATTTGTGTGCAAATCTTTCTGCAAGATTTCTGTATTCTGATTGACTGTATAATATGCGTATAGAGAAAATTTCATGAAAAAAATTTAGATTAAAACAACAAATTAAATATAAAATATTGAAAAAAATTCATAATAAAAAAGATTTTTTTATTAATAAATTAATTTCATTAATAATAGATAATAATAATAAGAAAATTATTGTATGTTGTTCATATTACGTTAATGAAATATTAAAGATTTATGGAATGAAGATAAATATTAATAAATTCAATGTAATTAATGTTAATTATTAAATTATCGATATAGTTATTATTATAGAAAAATTAAAATTTCAATATTAATTTAAATGAATTTTATATTATTTTAAAAGATTAAAATTTAAATAAAATCACTATTCACAATTTAATTGTTAATTCTAACTTCTAATTTCTGATCTCTTTCTCTTAGATTATAAGAAAATTATTAATAATAATTAGTAATTAATTAAAAATGTAATTATCATTCAATCAAAAAGTTTATCATAGATTAATCAGAATCATCAGAAAAATCAATATCAATAAATTCATCATTTTGAATAATAAGAAAATTATGAATTAATTATTAAATGAAGTATATCAAAATTATATCACACGTTCTGAAGATTATCTTTTACAAAATGAAAACTTCAACTTATCGATTAAGAATCATTTCATCTAATTAAATCGCTTACCGATAATCAAAGGAATATTGATACAATTATCAAATGCGAGTCCAGTGAGGAATCTGCAAATGGCGAATGACCAAAAACTATTCGCGCTAGCAGTGGCGATGGAACTGAGAAGGGCTATACTGTTGCAGAATATCAACGCGATTCGACTCTTGTGATTCGCAATCCAACCGACTAGAAAGCCACCAACGATAGATCCGCAGAAAAAAATGGCCTATGCTATTGATATGAGATATTCACGGTTGCATACCTAATCTAGCTAATCAGCAAGAGCTTAGAGTTAATTAGCGAGAAAAAAAGAAAATTATATAATTATATTAGAAAAAAAGGTTTCTCGTTGATTTCGATGATTTTAAAATATGTTACAACAGAGATTTTAAATAACTTTTTTTTATCGATTATATAACCCATCTTAATTTTCGAGATAATCTTGAGATATTTAATTAAAAAATGATAATTTACTAAATTAAATCTTTATTAAATTAAATACGTGTATCTTTGTGATGTTTATGAGCGTAAATATGTCATTATCCTTTTTTGATATAAATACGTATAATGAATGAATCGATCAGAAATTATGATGTTATGAATTATGATGGGTTTAAAATATCTTAATATCATTTCAAGTTTGAGTATTTAAATCTGCGAAGAATATAATGTACTTCTTAGCCAGGAGGAGAAAAAAAAATATATTATATAATTTTAGTTTTGAATTTTCTTTTTTTAGTTTGATTATTAATAAAATTAATAAAAAATTTTTGAGATAAAATTGTCAAATTCTACCTATATATGCGTGTTTTCAGCAATATGTGCATCACCATGTGAATATCTATAATTTCTATCATAAGTATTCAAAATATAATAACTGTTTGATAAATTGATAAATTGATCAAAAACTTTCTTATAAAAGTTTTTGATCAATTTATCAATATTAAATTATATAATAAACTAATAAATTATATAATATAACTAGATACTAAAAATGATACTGGTATTCATAATTTCAATAATTTCGATCACTTAAGGATTATTTTATATTTTATTATTTTATTTTCGCATGGTAAAAAATTATTCAAAATCCTATCCTCTATAATATATTTCAAAATTATTGGTCTCTTTTTTTAAATAATTATCGGAAATTGTATTTTATTATAATATTTTTGGAATTCCTTTTTTTTAAATTATATATATATATATAATATAAATATAATATAAATATATAAATAATATAAATTAATATAAACATTGAAAATTTCAAATAAATTAAATAATAAATTTTTCTGAATTTTAAAATATTCAACATTATAAAAAATAATATAATTAATATACAATTTATAATATATTATTTTTTGAAATTGTAAGTAATTATTTCTGTAAGTTTGAAATATAAATATTTTTCAACTAGTATCATTGAATCATTTTTGATCTTAAAATGCAAAAATATTATACATCCAAAAATATAATTTAGTAATTACATAAAATGTGTAAAAATCAAAAATATTTTAATATTAAAATAAAAATATTTTCATAAAGCTTAAAAATAGAATTCATAATATTTTGAAATAGAAAATATCGAATTAAATCGAACTTTCAAACTTGGAAAATACTATAACTTTCAATTTCAAACTTGGAAAATAATATAGATAACAAAAATAAAAATAATATAGATACTTCACCTCAGTTCCTATGCTAGAATATGAAATCTTTATGAAATTGTATTCCCATTGAGTACATTCCACTGTTCTATTTGTTTGGAATTTTAATGAACGTGGATCTTTGCTGCTCTTCAGGATTTCCTTGAAGTCTAGATCCTTCCAATAACATTGATCGTAATAAAAATACTCGTTCGTTAGTGGAATTGCTATTTGAATTCTAAACAATTATTATGATTTCAATTTCAATATGAATCATTGACTTAAATTCTTGAGTTGATCCAAATCGCATCATATTTTAACATGCTTAAGAATCCGCCAAGTAAATTATAAAAAAAAGTTACTCGGTATGATAATTGATAATATCAAGATCAAAGTAATTGAAATCTATATAATATATAATAGTAGCCAAAAAATTTTAATGACTTATTGAAAAAGAAAAAAAACAATTCAAATATAAAATTTTGTTTTTTTTTTTTATCTAATTATTTCTTCGTTTGTATTTGAATCGCAAATAATAAATTTGTATCAATAACAATGTAACAATAAATTTGTACTATTTTGGTGCATAAACTATAATTTGAACAATACAAAAGATAAATCTCAATCATTATATTGATAATATGATATTGATATGTATATATTATTATTATAGTAACAGTATGTGTTATTAATATAACAGTATGTGTATTAATATATTAATGAATTTTTGAAATAAATTATTAATTTTTTAAATAATTTAATTTGTAATATTTATGAAGTATTTTTCATGTAGTATTTTTTATGATATAATTAATTCAGATAAGGTAAATATATTAATGTGTAATATATAAAATAAATAATATGTGTATTTGATGAATGATTCAATCCTTTATCGCAATGACATTTTTTAAAAAATTAAATTAAATAAATAAATTTAAAAAGTAATAAAAGTGTTACAATTACAAAAAAATGTGGCAATTAAAAAAAAATTAAAAAACAGTAATCTAATTTTTAGAGATAACTTTCCTTATTTATTATTTGTTCTATATATTTTCTTTATTTCTATATATACTTACTTCTCTTCTTGAGTAAAGTTCGAATTTGTTAATTCATCTATTTTGCACCAATATTCCGTCGGGGTAATTGTAATAAAAAATTGTGAGAAATATAGGAACGCATATGTCATACTATAAGGTAACAATGACAATAACAATAACCACTGGTATCTTCCATAATCTCCGACATACGGCAAAACATCGTCAAAGTTTTCCAACTTTGGCCTTAATCGGGTCATTTCAGTTGGCCTTATGGAATTGTTTGAACTCTAAATGATTCTTCATTTTGTTGGAACAATCATGTATATAATAAAATTATATAATAAAAAAAATATGTATATAATAAAATTATTCTACGAAAAAAAAATGGATAATCCAAAATAATTGAGAAAATATTTCAACAATATTTAATTTTTTAAATTTATTTTTTCTTAGAAAATTGTTAAACATGTATATATAGGAAAAAATAAAAAAATAGTATTAAACTTTGCTGGTAAATACTTCCTTTTCAATAAAATCAATATTAAAGATATCTGTGATTTCATAACGGAATATAATAGAAAAAAAAAATGATATCAGATTAAAGATGGATTTATAGAGAATATATTTATAGAAAATAACTCGCAAAATTAAAAAATTATTTTTTTTATTTTTTTTTTTATTTTTTTTTTATTTTTTTTTTTTTTTTTGCTGCCCATTCATTC